ACACACACACACACACACACCCCCACCCCCCTCCGAGCTCTTGCAAGGGTGTGCAGAAGAAGAAGATTGTGAATCAGAATTGAGTTTTCATGCATGTATGTATGTATTTTCTTTTGCAGTTTAGTGGTGTTTTCTATCAAGTTTGTTTCTTATTTAAAGTGACATCTCTCAGTAAGTTTTGTTTGAACTGTCATTTTAAGATTTTTGTGCTCTGGAAATGTCACTGTCCCTTGTGGAGAATTTTGTTTCGGTCAATTATCATTAAATTTTTTACTCTATTATTATTTGTTTTTATCCAAAAAGCTAGAAATGAGGATTTGGTTTTGCTTAAAATGTTCCATTGTGTCCATTGTGCAGCCCAAAGATCACAAGACGGTCAAGTCAACAGCGTTCCAAGCTCAGGAGAAGGAGCTGGTGTTTGATATTGACATGACTGACTATGATGATGTGCGCTCCTGCTGTTCGTAAGTCGGACCGAACTATCTGTATTTGTGAGGTATCGTGGTGAACTCAGGCGCTCGGTGAAATGGAAGAAATTGACATTTTTCTGACCCTGGGGCAATTTTTTCTTGTTTTCTTTTTTTAGCTCAACAACTTTTATATTGTCCATTAAAAAACACATTTCTGTTTGGATTTAAGTGAAAAACATAGATTAAAGGCATAAAAAAATGTCAATTTTCAGTTTCCAAGGACTCTCAAGCTATGGAACTTTGGCTGCCATTTTCTCGCTAATTGCCTAATTTCATCTCTGAAACCAGGCGACCCTGACCTCCTTCAGTCTAAAATATTTCGACTTCTATTAAACATAGATAGATTATTTTTTCACCGAAAGCAAGGCAAATGAGCAGGCTTTAAGGTGATACCAATAACCCAATATATGCCCAAAAACTGACGAGTGCCTGATTCACGTCGTGGCTCATATTGTTATAGTCTGTCAGCAATCTGTTCAAATGTATTATACCAAAAATTTGTATGGATTTTTTTTTTTACTGCAATTTCTTAATTTGTGGTATCAGTTACTTGTGCTCAATTCAATAAATATTTTGTTGAAATTCTAAATGTTGGAGAGAAAAAAGCAAGGAAAAATACATAATGTAGAGGTACAATTGTTTAATGAATAAAAGTTTTTTTCTCTCTCCTGAAAAAATGGTGCTTTCTGAGCTTAGTACTTTTGAGAAGCTTGTCGACAACATAAGTTTGTTAATATGTACCTAGTCGCTAAATAAATTTCCAAAAAAGCAAGAACAGACAGATATAAAAATTCATTCGTACCAACTGCAGTGAGGTTACTGAACACACAGTGCTACAAATGAAACAGAGAGAGAGAAAGAATGTTTTACGGAGTGGGTTGTCCCAGCACGTGAGACATGTATTTACTAATGTCCTGTCTTGTTCTGCGTATGCGTGAGTGTACCTAACGTTTGTAACATTTACTGCCATTGTTAACGACCAAGACAAATTTCTCCCTGCGAGATGAATTTAAAACATTGTCATTGTGAACTGTGATACTGTAGGGGAACACTGTAATAAAAAATACTAACTAGGTGTGCTTTACAGTGGAAGATAAAAAAACATTGACTGCTGCCTCTTTAGTGACAAAACTTTCTTGAAAGTCGCTGAACCGAAGGCAAAGCTAAGGCCTTATACAGTCATGGAAAGTTGGCATATTTTGACTGGTTTTGTTTTGGAATTGTCCACAGAGGCGCAGACATTTGTTCTAACTGCTGGCCCTTGATGGTGATAGCCGTGAAAATCCTGGACAGAGCTCTCAGAGGTAATGTTCGTGTGTGTGCTGGCGCGTGATTGTGTTCGTGTGTGTGCTCACACTCGCGTGCGTGATTGTGTTCGTGTGTGTGCTCGCGCGTGATTGTGTTCGTGTGTGTGCTCGCGCGTGATTGTGTTCGTGTGTGTGCTCGCTCGTGTGTGTGCTCACACTCGCGTGCGTGATTGTGTTCGTGTGTGTGCTCGCTCGTGTGTGTGCTCACACTCGCGTGCGTGATTATATTTTGTAGTCCTGGTGTCAAGGAGTTGCTTTTTCTTCTTTGTTTTTGTTTTTTTAACTGAAGTTGTAGTAGAAGAATAACCCCTCCCAGGACAGTGCTACTGACTGAAGTGTCTTTAATTAAGCTATTCCCCCAGAATTGTAAATGGGCTGATGTATCAATGTCATGCTCATACTATGCCGGAACAACTTAGAGGAACTGCTGCTTTTTCTTTCCTCATCCTTACTATCGTCTTTTTCCTCTACTTCTTTTGTATGTTTGATGTCACTCTCTTGTAAACTGCTATTTCCGGGGTGCCTTGATAGTCGAAGCAGACTTTGTGCTGTTGAGGCTAGAGAAGTGGGCAGAATAAGCCTGATTAGGCCATTCCCAAAGGGGGGATGGGGATTTAACATGCACAGTAGAATTGTAAATGGGCTGACTTATCAATGTCATGCTCATACTGTGCTGAAACAACACAGGGGGATCTGCTGCTTTTTCTTTCCTAATCCTTACTGTCGTCACTTTTACCTCTACTGCTTTTGCATGTTTGTCACACTCTTGTGACCCGCTATTTCCGGGGTGCCTTGATAGTCGAAGCCCGAAGCAGACTTTGTGCTGTTGAAGCTAGAGAGGTGAGGAGAGTAAGCCTGATTCCTTGCATGGACTTCTCTGTTGACATTCACCCCTTGACGCTCATATGACCGCATGCAGTTGCGAGCGCGTAAAAACTTTAAAAAAAAGAGATTTAACTATGTTAACTGTTATTTTATCACATTACTGATGATATTTAAAATGTCTGTGTGTTTCAGATGACTTTGGATTTGAGCATCTTTTGTGGGTCTACTCGGGCCGAAGAGGAATTCATTGTTGGGTGTGCGACGAAAACGCAAGAAAGTTATCGGCTCAGGGGCGTTCGGCCATCGCTGAGTACTTGACCTTGGTCAAGGTATGAGTACCCTCTCACCCACATCCTTTTCCTTTATGGAAGGGTCGGGGTTGGCTTTGTCAGATACATTATGAAAGTTTTGTGGACAGTTTTTGTACTGTCACATAGTCTCATAAAGGTATTAGGGGGATGTCGTTGTAGAAATGGTTATATCACGACCTCAGTGCTTTCTTGTCGTATCTCCATTTTTAAGAACAGTGAAAACAGTTCCTAACAAAGAATCAGCTTAAGAAGATGTCACATTTTCACTGTAAAGAAAATGGAGATATGACAAGGAAGCACTGAGGTCGCGATGTTATAGTCGTTTTTTCACTATTATTTTTGTAGCTTTGTTTTGATGTGGCACTGGTTAGAAAAATAGTTGAAGATAGTGTTAGTGTTGTGGTGATCTGGCAGAAAGACACACCTACGTGGTTATCTTTATCTTTCCTCCACTACATAGTTTCCTTTACTTCTTTTGTATATTTGTCACACTCTTGGGACCCGGGATGCCTTGATAGTCGAAGCAGACTTTGTGCTGTTGAAGCTAGAGAGGTGAGCAGTCTAAGTCTGATTCCCCGTTTTGACTTCTCTGTTGACACCCACCCCTTGGCGTTCATATGACCTTATGCAGTTGCGAACACTGTAAAACCTCTACTAAAACAAACATATATTATAAAGGCCATTGTAATGATTGTTATTTTGTCTGATTTCTGCGTGCACTTTTTTATGTCTAGGGAGGAGATAGCCAAGTGAGGAAAGTGAACCTTCCCGACAGACTCCACCCTTCTGTCAGGTGAGTTTGTGTCAGTTGAATTGTCATGTGTGTGTGTATGTGTGACTGTCTGTGTCTGTTCACATGCGTTTTGAAATTAATATAATGAATAATTTTATGAGCTCGAATGTCGCTTGAACGAACAATTTCTTTATTGATGTAAAGCACCTTGAGCCGAATTAGAGAATGGGTTGGTTTTATAGAATTATTCTTATTATTGTTGTTATTATTATTATTATTCTTATTATTTATTATCTTAAGATTCAAGTTTTCCGACTTTTCTTGTCCTTTAATGTTGTTTTTGAAGAATATCCCAGTAGTGAAGACTTGTAAACAATCGAGGAAAAAATCGTCTTTGAAAGAGGCAGAAAGGATAAGACAGAAATGCAAACTCACATAAAAAGATGTAGACCTACTTTTTTTTTCCTCAGAAATTTAAAGGGCTTTTTTTCATTTTGCGCATGAGCTTTAAAGTAATTTCGCTCAAATATTTTTTCAGTTAGCTGTTAATGTTTCACGCATGTATATACAGTGGAAACCTGATATAACAGGGATAGTGGGAGTAGAGAAAATGTTCTGTTATATCCGATCCCTGTTAAATCAGAAATGCAAGGAAAGTAACTTGATTAGTAAGCATTTGTGGACTAATCCAGCTGTAGTTATTCATGGGTAGTTTCCCTTGCCACAAGTACCCACGAACAGGGGTTTTGGCACCGACTTTCTCCATTGCCTCACATCAGAAGAGCTTGGTCCACAGCATCTACAGCGGGTAGTCTCATCTTCTTTCGATCCAGAGCAAACTTTTATTGGAGTATGCTCCCACTATCTTCTCTCTATCCTTGATAATGGTGAGAATCGACCCTTGTGGAATGTCGAACTGACGACAAATCTCTGCCAGTGGAGCTTGCTTTTTGTCAACAGCCTGGATTAATTCGTATATTTTGTCTATTGAAAGGGATTTTCTCTTGCGCTTGACATCGTTGGTGACACATTACGCGTGTGTTGCTAGGTTTCCGGCTAGATCGCTTCACACGCTGCATGTGCTTGCAGTTGCAGTGGTATGGTTTGCGTGGGCTTGCTCCATCACTGCGTTTCTCTCTCTCTCATACTTTTCATACATTGGTAACGAGCCTTTGTCCCTGCTATAACCGGTTGGGCTCCGATGAGGCCCTGTTATTGCCGATAACTTTTAATAGAGACAAAGAGTAGGATAAAACGGGGATTTAAAAAATCCCTGTTATTACCGGATCCCTGTTATTACCGGGCCTGTTATATATGGTTTCCACTGTACAACTTCATAGGCTTTTGTTTGGGTTGTTTTCATCTGTTCACTTCCACCAGTGTGCTTGTATATGCATTTTGGATTGGTTTGTCTGTGGACAGGGTAGTCCTTCCTGCGTTCCTGTCAAAAGCTCCTCTGTATTTTCTCTTTTTTCATGTGCAAATGCTCGCTTTTAAGCACAAGGGGGCTATCCCGAAAAATCCCTTTTTGAGAAAATGGAAGGTAAAGTTTTTACCCCTTGTTCAGTTTCTTTAAAAGACAAGGAGAGTTTTCTCTATAACCAAACAAATATATACACACCAATGAAACCAAACTTCTCCTATAGGTAGGGCAATACCCACCCGCTTGTCTTTGAAAGTGACCAAATAAAGATGTTGCCTCTAACCTAGGAATGAACTGCTATATATTTATTGTGAAACGTCCCCCCCCCAGACATGCTGTGAATGTCATCAACAGTCACTTTGTGGACTACGCCTTCAAGAAACAAGATCTGCTCGACTGCGAGGAGAAGTGGAAGGGTGTGCTGGCCGTCGTTCCGTCAGAAGATATCCTTTCCTGTGTGTGTTGTTGTCACAAACTCTGTGCAGTGGGTGGTTGGCGGGTGCTCTGGTATGGTTTGCTCCTTCTTTCCTATCAAACATCTATCGTACTTATCTCCCCTCCTTCTGTTTTATGTTTGTTACTCTCTTGTAACACCTCTAATCTTCTGGTGCTTATATGACCGTATGCAGTTGGGAGCGCCGTAAAACCTCTACTAAAACAAAACTCTGTACATGGCAAACTGAACCCTGCTGTATGTGTTACGACATTGTGGAATCGGACGCTCGTGAATTTTTGGGCATGTGGAGTTGTTGGTATCATCTGAAAGATGATTTATTTGCCTTGCTTATAATGAAATATCATTTCTCTTGAATAGAACTCAAGAGAGTGGATGATTGGCGGGTGCTTTGGTGTGGTTTGCTCCTTCTTTCCTATCAAACATCTACCGTCCTGATCTCTCCTCCTTCTGTTTTATGTTTGTTACTCTCTTGTAACACTTCTAGTCTTTAGCACTTATATGACCTTATTGTGTTGCAAGTGCCGTAAAACTCTTACTAAAACTAAATTGCTGAAGAAAAGAAAGAATTCAAGATTTTTGCGATTGACATTGAAGGAAGTGAGGTCGCCTGGTTTTATTTGTGAAATTTGCGAGAAAATGTCTGGCAAAGTTTAAGTTTGGTGACTCCAATAGCTGTCCTGTAACTGTCCGAGTGATGAAGCGTAGCAGAAGCAGGCGATAGTTTTCCTTAACGACGTCCACTTGTTCGCGACTGTTTGTCTCGGGATTTTGTCAAACACGGGAAAGACACAGCCTCCCGCTGGACCATTCTGAAGAGACGACTGACGGAAGGGAAACAGGTAAACTCTCCACCCCTGGGTGGCAGTGACGTGGTCGTCATTCTCTGTAACCATGGCAACGTTTCGTTCTGTTGATTTAGTCAATATCTGGCCTAAGATCATTTTTTACACCCAGGGACATCTGTCTGTGGGACCACCAGATTTTTTTCTTTTTTTTCTAGCTGTGATTCTGATGTAGAGATAGATATTGCTGAAGTAGCGGAGAATAAAAATCTGGGATTTTTTTGTTTTGTTTCTTTATGTTTACTGCTGTACTTGGATTAGTTTTGTTTTAGCAGACTCCAGTGTAGTTGGTGACAGTGGTCTGAATCATGACTGTAAGTTAATGCTGAGTCTTCCAAAAGGGTTCTGTATAGTAGGATGATGAAACACGACAGTTTCTCACGTACTGTGTTCAGTTTCTATGTAGGGATGCCATTTTGTCATAATAATAATAATATATAACATTTATATAGCGCATTTCCAAAAAAAAGTAGCTCAATGCGCTTTACATTGGAACACCCATTTTCAAAAACCTTTCTTACTACTTCCTTTCTCCTCATGCAATATACATTAATGCACACACACACACACATACACACACACACACACATACACACACACACATACACACACACACACATACATACACACACACACACACACACACACACAGACTATTTTCATCCAGACATAGGAACAGAACAACTATAATGAAAGATAAAGATATATATATTTTCCCCCTCTATTTCCACTGAAGAGAGCAATTATTATTCTCAGCTTTTGTTTTCTGTTGAACCCCATATATATATATATATAAATGTAATGTGATGAGGCGCTGTGGAATCGGGCGCTCGTCAATTTTGGGGCATATGGAGTTATTGGTAACATCTTAGAGCTTGTTCATTTGTCTTGCTTTTGGTGAAAAAAATACCCAACTCTCTTGAATCAAAGTTGAGATATTTGCACTTGAAGGAGGTGGGGTTGCCTGGTTTCAGGGGTAAAGTTAGCGAGACAATGGCCGCCAAAGTTCGGTCACTTTCAGTTCTTGAGAGTTCTTGGAAACTGAAAATGTACATTTTTTGGTGCCTTTAATCGACGTTTCCATTGATTTCCACTCAGAAATGTCTTTTTAAATGGACATAAAAGGTGTTGACTTAAGAAAAACAAAAATTCAATCAAACTTGCCAAACAGGAGGAAAGGGGAGTTTTTTCAAGTTCCTGATTTCTGTCCGTGCAGAATTATGCAAATTTAGATGGCTAAATTATGCAAGACAAATGCAAAATTATGAAAAAATTATGCAAGTTACAGTAACGCCGTCCACGACATGTTTTGCACTTTTTCAACAAGGAGATTTTCATGTTTTATGTACAGAAGTATTGAAAACAGAACAGTAGTTTTTATGTATTTGGAAAAATACACATCAGTAAGAAAAAAAGACCCAAAAATACATGTTTATAATTTCTGTTTTGTTTAGTATGGGGTTTTAAGGCGTTCGCAACTGTTGAGACTGCATAAGGTCTTATGAGCGTGCTTATAATCTCTAACTTTCAGCTGTATAGAGGAAAGAAAAATGATTATTACAAATTTTAAAAAATTAGAAAAAAAAAGGACATCTGGCCCTCTGATGCTGGCACATTACTAAAACCAGGGACACCTGTCAAACATGAAACATCAGCAGACATGAGAACAACTTTTGATGGATTGAAAAATTGAACATGCTCAAGGAACCAAAATACCCAGCAAGGGAAATAACCAACTTGTCATTTAAATGAGACTTATTACTCCGATTACTTCCCTTTAGTCATATGGCGAGGCGATGAAATGTTTTGCTACAAATTTTATTTACAAACGTGAAAAAATGTGGGGAATCCAAAATTATGCAAATTTTGCAGAATAATGCGAAAAAACGCAATCGCATAATCCGACGGGGACAGTTATTTTGACGAGCGCCTGATTTCACCGCAGTGCCCCACATATTATTGTGTCTAGCAACTGTCGTTTGCTCGCAAATGTAACTTTGTAAAGTTTTCACAAAGTCCGACAGACATCCCTGGCTATGTTATGTTATTCTGGGGTTTTTTTCTTTCCTTCCAGGAAAGTATGCTGAAGCCGTATGTTGAGGAGGAAATCAAACTCCAGTTTTGCTACCCGCGCCTGGATGTCAATGTCAGTAAAGGCGTGAACCACTTGCTCAAGAGCCCCTTCTGTATACATCCCAAGACTGGTAGGTCCAAGTTATTCTAGCAAAGTTTGGCCTATAGACTGTGTGGATTTTTTTTTTAAATTTGCATGGCTGGTTTGTGATTTATCTGACTACCATGTCAGTTTTTTCTGTGTTGGAACTTTCTCTTTTTACTAAAATTTTTGGTGTTGATTCCATAGTTTGTATCTATATATGACTAAAGGTCTTGTAATTAAATTCTTGAATGTAGCTGAATGATGCTCTGATGTGATACATACATTTTGTCAGCTTTACTTCTTTTTTCCTACTGAATTTTAATGAGAAGGATTATATATATATATATAATTAATTTTTTTTGTATACCTGCATGTGTTTTTACGGTCCTGTACAGCCAAGAAAAATTTCCCTCTCCGATAATAAAGTATTATCTCATCTTATCTTATAGTGAGGTTACCATATGTTCCTCTTTGCCACAGGTCGAGTGTGTGTCCCGATGGATCCAAAGACTATTGATGACTTTGACCCCATGGATGTACCCACCATAAGGTAAAACGAAAACAGCGGTTCCTTCAACATCTATATTGAGGGGTGGGGGGGTATAATGTTGTAAAGACTTCTGTCTCTGTCGAAAGCTTGAGGGTGGGTGGTTGGCGGGTGCTCTTGTGTGGTTTGCTCCTTTTTTCCTATCATACATCTATTGTCCTTATCTCCCCTTCTTCTTTTTTGTTATTGTTACTCCCTTTGTAACACCTCTAATCTTCGGCACTTATATGACCTTATTGTGTTGCAAGCGCCGTAAAACACTTACTGAAACAAAGCTTGAGGAAAGGTTGTGTTTTCATCTCTAGTGGAATCAACATCGGAGCTGTTGACAGACGTGTTTCTTTCTGTTGCGAGCGCCGTAAAAACTTTCTAACACAAAGAGATGCGCTAACTTTTCCTTCTGAGTGTTTACAAGTGTCTTTACTTTGCTTCTTGCAGTGTTCAGCAGGCTTGCAAACCTTCCCGAATCTTTTGGTTACCCAAAAATCGCAATGTGTCTCCTTCCCCCCAAATTATTATGTTCTTAAAAAAGTAAAAATGGCGAAGGCATAGAAATGCTGAAGACAAATGGGTATGTGTAGTAACTGTAGGCTACTCAACATTCTCATCTCTCTGTTTCTCCTCTGGTTTGTTTGAGCTGTTTTTGGAGTGTGGGTGTTTTTTTAAGTAGCCTACCACAGAAGTGTGTGTCCGTGGCGCTCTGGTGCAATCAAAATTCCAGAATTCAGTATCTCAAAAGTTGGCAAGCCTAGTTCAGTTAAAATGAGATTTATTTCTTCATCATACAGGCATAACTGCCAACCAGTGCGTAAGGTTTAATGTACGAAATAAGGAGAAAAGTTTTTGTCTTCAACATATAGTAGACATTGTGATATTTTAAAAAATGCAAGAGGTCGGAAGTGGTCATTTATTCATTTATCCTGGGGGATGTGATTGTTAAACCAAGGTTTGACTGTATTTCTATTATTTGTTCTATTTGTTTCAGCGAATCTGTGTATTTCTATAATTTTTTGTTTCCATGGATCTGTATTTCAAATGTTTTTTCTATTTGTTTCAGCGGATCGGTATTTCTATTAATTTGTCTCTTTGTTTCAGCAGATTTGTTTTTCTATTTCTATTATACTATCTGTTTGTTTCAGCGGACTCCTGGATGAGCTGGACCACGTGGAGGTCGGCACGAAAGACGAGCAGGGCAAGCGAGTTCGGGGTAGGTCAAGACTTGTCAGCTGACCGCGACTGTCTCAGAGTCTGCAGCTGAGAATTTGTTTTATGATCACACAAAGGGGGGACATTAACATGTCCTTATGCACAGTAGAATTGTAAATGTGCTGATTTATCAATGTCATGCTCATTCTGTGCCGGAACAACATAGGGGGAACTGCTGCTTTTTTCTTTCCTCATCCTTACTATCGTCATTTTTCCTCTTCTTCTTTTGTATGTTTGTCACTCTCTTGTGACCCACTATTTCCGGGGTGCCTTGATAGTCGAAGCAGACTTTGTGCTGTTGAGGCTAGAGAGGTGAGCAGTCTAAGTCTGATTCCCTGTAAGGACTTCTCTGTTGACATCCACCCCTTGGTGCTCATATGACCTTATGCAGTTGTGAGAGCCGTAAAACCTCTACTAAAACATCCACCCCTTGGTGCTCATATGACCTTATGTAGTTGCGAGCGCCGTAAAACCTCTACTAAAACATCCACCCCTTGGTGCTCATATGACCTAATGTAGTTGTGAGCGCCGTAAAACTCTCTACTAAAACATCCACCCCTTGGTGCTCATATGACCTTATGCAGTTGCGAGCGCCGTAAAACCTTACTAAAACATCCACCCCTTGGTGCTCATATGACCTAATGTAGTTGTGAGCGCCGTAAAACTCTCTACTAAAACATCCACCCCTTGGTGCTCATATGACCTTATGCAGTTGCGAGCGCCGTAAAACCTCTACTAAAACATCCACCCCTTGGTGCTCATATGACCTAATGCAGTTGTAAGCGCCGTAAAACCTCTACTAAAACATCCACCCCTTGGTGCTCATATGACCTAATGCAGTTGTGAGCGCCGTAAAACCTCTACTAAAACATCCACCCCTTGGTGCTCATATGACCTAATGCAGTTGTGAGCGCCGTAAAACCTCTACTAAAACATCCACCCCTTGGTGCTCATATGACCTAATGCAGTTGTGAGCGCCGTAAAACCTCTACTAAAACTAAAACTTTTTGTTTTTGTCTTTTTGGTGGGGATTGTGTAATTCCAAGTGTTTTGTTTTTCTCATCAGACTACAAGAAGACAAGCCTTGGGCCGTACTTGGAGACATTTGAAAGTTTTCTCAAAGATCTAGAAGGTTCCAGGAAAGGAAAATTGATCGAGCAAAGTGGTGAGTTATTTTTGGGTGGATTTCATGTGTTTAAAAATTTATTATGTTTTAGAAATGTGTTTTTTTGAGGAGATAAGTGGTGATTACAGCAAGAGGCTGAAACACAATCACCAAAATGTCTGTGTGAAGAAGTGGAACAAACTGTGGAGCTTATCCTTCACTCACACACACTCACTCACACTCACACACACTCACACACAAAACACAACCCTGAGACAAGAAACACCCACCAACACACACAATTACACACACACACTCACGCACACTCACACACACACAAAGAACCCTGAGACAAGAAACACCCACCAACACACACAATTACACACACACACCAACACACACACACCAACAACACACACACACCAACAACACTCACACACACAAACAACAACAACACTCACACACACAAACAACACTCACACACACACACAAACAGGACACACACACACACACAGGGCCCCGAGACAGGAAACGTTGACAACCTCACTCGAGACAGGAAACGTTGACAACCTCACTGACACTACCGGAGAAGTTGTAGGCCTACCTGCCGACGGTCTGGGCTCGTGAGTCTTTCTGCAGCCTTTCTACTGCTACTCCTTGGCTCCTGAGTCTTTCTGCAGCCTTTCTACTGCTACTCCTTGGCTCCTTACCGACCTTACTGCTGTCTTTCAGCCACACCCCTCATCTTATGGTAGGTAAGATCTACAACTAGTCTTGTCGAAAAATTTCGGAGGTTCCCATGTGCAAGTTGCACACGTTAAAGATCATCCCTTGATGGTCCAAAATCGATAAGAGTAGGCCACCTGGGCAAAATTGAAAATTTCTACCAACTGAAAATGTTTGGTGTATCCCGCGCGCTATGAGCTTATGCAGTTGCGAGCGCCGTAAAACACTTACCAAAAGAAGGGGGGGGGGGGGATTTGAAAAGAACCCTTTGAAGTGGCATATATGGCTTCTTGGAAGCTGATTTGCCCTTATTCCTAGCAGGAGTATAGAGCGTACTAAAGTGTTCCATCCTGTTTTGCTTGACATTGAATAGAAATATGCAGATGTCTGATGAATGAAGAGAAGTTTTGTCTTAAGTCTTAAAATATGTGTGTGTTCTTTTCGTATTATTTTTCAGTGATTTTCAGTTTCAGTAAAGAACTGTTCCTCCTCTTATAATGAGAGCTTTTGTTTTTATTTGCAGTGGGTGGTTGGCGGGTGCTCTGGTGTGGTTTGCTTCTTCTTTCCTACCAAACATCTATCGTCCTAGTCCTAATCTTTCCTCCTTCTTTTTTATGTTTGTTACCCTCTTGTAACAATAGTAACAATAACACCTCTAATCTTTGGCACTAATATGACCTTATTGTGTTTCAATTTCAAGTCAAGTGCCGTAAAACTCTTACTAAAAAACTAAAACTTTTCTTTGCAGATATAAAAATGGAGTTCTGAGGATCCTGTGGTGACATTGTGAGAACGTCGCTGTCTTTGAGACGGCTTCAGCAGTTGATGGATGTCCTGTGCCTTTATATGGTCGCTTTTAAGGACAAGCGGGCTAACTCAGATTTCGGGGGTTTCCAGAAATCTTGACCTACTACAAAAGTGGGCATTGCCCTACCTAAAGAAGTTTGGTTTCATTGGTGTGTATATTTGTTTGGTTGTAGAGAAAACTCTCCTTGTCTTTTAAAGAAACTGAGCAAGGGTCCAAAAACTTTACCTTCAATTTTCTCAAAGCAGCTTTTTTCAGGATAGCCCTCTTGTGCTTAAAAGCGACCAAATATTGCCCAGGGAACAGACAAGAACCTGATGGCCAAGGAAATATCACAGATGTTTGTGGACAGCCATAATGAGCTGTCAATACTCAAGTTGTCTGGCAGACTTTGTTGTGTACCTTTGATGGTATTCAAAACGATTATTTATTGACCTGTAAAGTGCGTTGCGACTTTGGGGACTCGCTGAGGAATGGCAGGGTGGTGTGAAAGTGAAAAAAGTGCGAGGGAGAATGTAGTGTTGGTTGGATTCTTACAAAGATCTCCAGGCTTGCCAACGGACGGTCGCAGATTCTGCAGTTGGGGATTTGATAAGGCGGGGGGTTTTTTTGCCTCCACCGTTTCGACGGGCTAAATTTATCACAAGCACGGCACTAAAACTGTCCCACTTGGTGTTATTTTGTTGGTGGGTCATCGGATGTTCTAACATTTGAGAGACATCGTTGGGAATGTTTGTTTTTTGGTTCAACACCTTTGATGTCTTATTTAAAAACAAATTTCTCTGTTGGTTTTATTGAAAAATATTGATTTAAGTTTTGTTTGTTTTTTAATGTAAATTTTCATTTCCGAAGGACTCTCAAGGTGTTGAAATTACCAAACTTTTGTGATTCTGACATTGATGTGAATGAAGGCGTTTGTACACATCGCGACTCCAGTATCTCCATTTTTCATAACAGTGAAAACAGTTCATAACAAAGAGTGAGCTTAAGAAGTCACATTTTCACTGTTAAAAAAATGGAGATACAACAAGAAAGCACAGAGTGTGACAGTCCAGAGGTCACGATATGTACTTTGCTGTTACTGTATATTAATTATTATTGTTACGTTATTGAATAAATGTGTTGTTTGTTTTTCATGTCTCTAGCGTGACAGTGAATGGCTGGTGTGCCTCTATATAAATCATTGATGGTCATGTCTCTAGCGTGACAGTGAATGGCTGGTGTGCCTCTATATATAAATCATTGATGGTCAGGTCTCTAGCGTGACAGTGAATGGCTGGTGTGCCTCTATATAAATCATTGATGGTCATGTCTCTAGCGTGACAGTGAATGGCTGGTGTGCCTCTATATATAAATCATTGATGGTCAGGTCTCTAGCGTGACAGTGAATGGCTGGTGTGCCTCTATAAATAAATCATTGATGGTCAGGTCTCTAGTGTGACAGTCCTCCGTGTTGAGGCCGTGTGTCACCGAGACTTCGTACTTCCCCGTCAGTTTTGACAGTTGATTGTATTAAAAAGAATTATGCACTGTCACAATGTATTAACGTTTGTTTTCTTTTCCTTTCTGTGGTATTGATGTGGGTGTTTGAGGGAAGAGGGTGGTT